GTACCGGATCTCTTAACGGCGGGAACATCCCAAATTCCCCAAGCCCCGGTACCGGCTCTTTTAACGGCAGGAATAACGGGGACCCCCCACAGGTCCTGGCTCTTCTAACGGGAGAACCATGGGGATCCCCGCTCGGTACCGGCTCTTAACGGCGGCAGCAGCGGGAGAAGCACGTGCTCTCCTTCCGGTACCGGCTCCTTTAACGGCGGGACGGTCAGAGTGTCCCCAAGCCGCGGTACCGGCTCTTTAAGGGGCGGGGACAATGGGGACCCCCCCTCTAATTCCGGCTCCTTTAGGGGTGGGGACAATGGGGACCCCCCCCTCTAATCCCGGCTCTTTTTGGGGTGGGGACAATGGGGACCCCCCCTCTAATCCCGGCTATTTTTGGGGTGGGGACAATGGGGACCCCCCCTCTAATCCCGGCTCTTTTTGGGGTGGGGACAATGGGGACCCCCCCTCTAATCCCGGCTCTTTTTGGGGTGGGGACAATGGGGACCCCTCTGTGATCCCGGATCTTTTTAGGGGCAGGAGAAGCGGGCACCCCACTCTGGTCCCAGCTCTTTTTTGGGGTGGGGACCCCCCAGTGCCGGTCCCAGCTCTTTTTTGGGGTGGGGACCCCCCCAGTGCCGGTCCCAGCTCTTTTTTGGGGTGGGGACCCCCCCAGTGCCGGTCCCAGCTCTTTTTTGGGGTGGGGACAGTGGGGACCCCCCTCTATTCTCTGATTTTTTTAAGGGCAGGAGAAGTGTGACCCCTACTCCAGCCCCGGCTCTTTTAAGAGTGGGAACAAGGGGGACAGGTCCATCCTTTTTGGGGGGCACATTTGGGGGGCTTCAGGACAGGGGGAACCCCAGAGACCCTCAGCCACCGCCATTCCCTCCCAGGAGTGACATTTATTGATGCCCAGGATGGGGAGAACAGCCCCAAACCCGCCCGTTTTTACCCCACGATTGATTCCCCCGACATGGGGAGGATTTTGGGGTGCAGGAGGGGGGCCCCCCCAAAGCGGGGATAAAGCAACCAGAATTCTGTTTATTGATCACTTCAATCCCTGCCTCCCACCGGAACCGACACCGGAGGAGAAACAATGGT